TATAGTGGCACCTGCAAAAAGCAAAACATTATCAACATAAAGAAGGTGGGAGACAAGAGGCCCCCCACCATAAATAGGCACTCCCAATCGTTGAAAATTTTGATGCATGTGCAACGGGAGAAGCTCCGAGCAAAGAATGAAGAGATAAGGTGATAGAGGGAACCCATGCCAAAACCTGCATTCGGCCACAACCCATCTGAAATCCGCCCATTAATCAATATCGAGAATCTGGGAGCTCGGAAACAGTTCAAAACCCACATATCAAACATATGAGGGAAGCCCATGTGCCGCAAAATGGGCTTCAGGGTCCTCCAGATCATCTTGTCATAAGCTTGCTCCATGTACACCTTTAGTGCAAAGAAGCCCGAGGAAGCTTTAGTGACCCTGAATTTGTTAATCATCTCCTGCCCCAACAAGTAGTGACTAGAAATAGATCGCCCTGGGACAAAGGCGGCTTGCTCCTCAGAAATGAGCTTAGGCAGCACCCCTTTAGCCCTATTGACTAACACCTTCACAACCACTATATAAATTATCTTACACAGGCTAATGGGTCTGAATTTTGGCGGATGATCAGGGTTGATCACTTTTGGCACAAGGAAACCACCGTCTCCTTCCAAGTTAAATTCATGTTCCCGGAGGCAAAAAACTCCAAGCAGGCTTTGGTAACTTGCTCACCCATAATCTCCTAGAAGCAATTGAAGAAAGAAGCCATAATGTCGTCCCTACCAGGAGCTTTGTTCTGGCCCAAGGAGCGGACCGCCGCCCAGATCTCCTCATGAGTAACCTCAATGTAGAGGGATCCAACAAATTTGGAGGAGAACCCAGATTATGGAACCTAGAAATGTCATCCCAGAATTGCCTCAAATATCTGTCCTTATTAGCATAGACAATAGAAACCTCCCAATCCAAACCATTGGCCTTGAGATGCCCCAAGATGCATTGGTTGGTTTCGAGAGCTGTATGAAAGGAAAGGGAATCATTCTTCCACAGAAGAAGAATGCCCCTAGCAGTGCCAATAGTGGGTTGAAGGACAAAATCCCAATCCTTACCAGCAAGTTGATCAGCCTCACGCCTACTAAACGATTCAACCTTGGTCTCTAACAATCCGATGAAGCTAACGTCAAGCCCCCCGATTAGGTGCCGTAATTAATTGCCCGTCGCCTTGTTACACACACCTCTGCAATTCCAACATAGGATGTTAAGCATGATCCACCAAAGGGGAAGCATCCCCGCTGTAATAAACTTCAGAAAAAACCTCTTGCTAATGAGCAGCAAAGTCTCCCTCCATAATATTACTGTCCAAAGAATTATTAATAACATTGATAGATTACACGGTGGAAGAAGAAGCCAGCTCGTCAAACGACTTCCTATTTCTCCTAACACTCGACAGCTTTTGTAACGGGCCAATATGGCCCAATTCTTTGGTGCATCTACCCTTGGAGTCCCTGGTTTACACATTCTTTGTCTTCAGCACATTGGATTTTTGTCTGGAGAACTTCAAAACTTTCGGGACCAAAGTCTGAGCAGGAGATGCCACTTGGACCCTACAATTCCTCCTCTTCATAATAGCCAGAGACATGGACTTTAGGGCCAAGCCATTCTCCAACACCCTCATATCACCCTGAGACACACTGCTATCAGAGAGCGGATCAGGTTGAGGAAATTGTCCAACATCAACGGACATAACATCCTGAGGTTGTGGCAGAGCCAAACTAGTTGTCCCGAGCTGGGCAGGCCCATCTGTGCCCGTAACTATTCCATTCAACATGTCAGAATTCAGATTATTGTCCATAGCACCCTTCCATTCCAAGTGATCAGGAGAGACCAGCAGACCGCACGAGTCCCTGCTTACTGACCTCCCCACCCCAATAGAGCGCTCATTCGATTTATCTCTTTCCTCAAGAGGCAAGCCTTTAACCATAACATTAATCCTAACATTGCTCCCTCCATCAGGAGTTTCATCCATAGCTTGGTGCTCAATAGAAGTAGGTCCTTTGGCAACAACCCTCTAGACCGCACTACTTGTAATCTTCATTGCAGAGCCAGCCTGTCATTGGCAGAGACCTGAGGCTTAGTTTCCACTTTAGATGAATTTGGTCTTCTCCTTCTAGTGACAATGGTTCACTCTCCAAGCTCAATATCAACGTCCTTAAGATTCTCACCCGCCAAATTAGTCCTAGTAACCGGGCTCCCCTTTCCTGCCCGGTCCGCCACCATATCCCTCTCATGCCTGGAGCCAGAAGTCCCAGTCTGACCCCTTGAAGGACGAGTCTCTCCAACTTGTTGCACCGGCTCCCTGCGGCATCAACCTTGTGACACACCTTTCCACATGCCAAGCATATCAACGGGATTCCCTCATACTCAACCGGTTGAAAGAAAGCTTCCCCCAGCCCTTGAGCCCACACCCCCTTAGGCAATCTCTTAGACAGGTCCAGACGGACACATATACGTGCAAAGGCATATCTATTCCACAGTTTGGCCTATTCATTGATGTACAACCATTCACCCATACCGGCAGCCAAACTTGTCAAGTTTGCCTCATCCCAATATTCCAAAGGAAAATTTAGGAGATGAATCCAAATAGGATACGTGAACTTCCGCATCGAGCTGGATGACAACCTAGCAGACCACTACTCAACCCTAATAATATGGCCAGCAACGTACCATGGGCCCCTAATCATGGCATTATCCTACGCATCAACATCCTTAAACCAGCATAAGAAATAAACATATCCCATTGGAGTAATCTGGGTTAAGCTGAGGTGCGTCCACTTCTTTTGGAGCTCATTTTGAATAACCCAGAATGGCACCCGACATCCCAAGAGGCTAATAACAAGAGCACGTCCAAGCTTTTGAATGTTCCCTCTTGCCTTATCCAGGTCTAGTCTAACCAAGCCATCCTCCCGTAGGAACGTTTTCACATCATCCTCCAGACTTAGTGCAATAGGCAACAGTTTCTTCCAAGCAGTTGTGGCAGTCCTAGATCTAACCCCAGCTCTTCTAGCAGGCCTGGAGGGATCTTGCCTCAGCTGGGCGGACTGGCTTCCCACAGGAGCATTTCGACAAACACATGGAGGGCAGTCCGGAGCAGCGAAGGAGACACTACAGAGGGCCTCTACATGGTCACCCTTGGAAAGTAGCACCCCATCAGTGTTTATATTACACCCAATAACCCCACCAATGGTACCAAAACTAAGGCGCGGTAGGATCCTGTCAACATTCATACCAACATTCTGGGCATCCTGGGTTAAGGGAACCTTGTCCAGGTCTAGAATCCGACTTAAGCTCCCAAATGTAAATTGCAATTTCTTAGGTTCAAACACAGGGTTGTCCAACATCTTGCTTACCTCAACCCTCGCACAGGAAGAAGGCAACACATCTTCGCCGGATTCCAGCATCTCAATCTTTCCGGCATCAATTTTCATCTCGTCATGAGCATTCGAGTCCCTTGTATCTATCTGGACAACCATACTAGAGCCAGCCTTGACCTCATTCAGGAACTCCACAACCTCAGAACCTCCCATAATCTCCATACCATCCCTAAGCTCAGAGGGGTCTTGCAATTTCAAGTTACAGTTATCCCTGACCACGTTCAGGGCAACCTCCACCTTCCCCTAGATAATAATAATAATAATAATAATAATAATAATAATAATAATAATAATAATAATAATAATAATAATAATAATAATAATAATAATAATAATAATAATAATAATAATAATAATAATAATAATAATAATAATAATAATAATAATAATAATAATAATAATAATAATAATAATAATAATAATAATAATAATAATAATAATAATAATAATAATAATAATAATAATAATAATAATAAAAAGAATTCATGTAGCCTACCCCATATAGTGGGATAAAGGCCTGTTATTATTTTTGTTGTTGTTGCTGCTGCTGCATCCTCAGCGAAATTTTCATTGGCCTTACATTGCAAGCAAATTTAATTAATTTAATTGTCCTAAATCTAAACATCATTAATTATTATTTGCTCTCCTATTATTTCCCTTGTCATGATTTGTTGAATTTTCGTTTCTAATTAATATTTAATATTCAGAAAGAAGAATGGAACCTATTGCTTAGGAGATCGGAATTTACTTTTTTTAGTAGAACATAACTTAATTAAAATCATATAATTATAAAATTTCATCCAATATTCAAAAAAATAAAAAAAGGCAAGGTGTTTGTTAGTTAATTGTCCCCGTCAAGGTAACTTTCATAACTATTTTCCACATTCTTCTTGTCATCCAAATAAAATAATTAGCTGATGCCACCACCTAAATCTCTCTTATTTATCTTAACTATTAAGAAAACATAATTTAATACACAAACTAAATCATTAAAAGTAAATTACCTTTCAATCCAAAAACTAAAATTTAACTCACATAATTATATTAATTAATGTAACAAACTTATTAAGCATGATGATTAAAATAACAATATATATAGTTCAAACAAGATAGTTTCATATAGGGTCTTTTCCAGTGAAATTTCTAACGGATTTTCCAGCAAAATTTTTGACATATTTTTATGTCGGAAATTAAATAAATGTTCCTATAGAAAATTGTCGGGAATTTCATTGAGCTATTTTATTAATGACTAAATTTCTGACAAAATTACCGATGAAAATTTTGCCACGGGTATAGTGAAATCATCTTATATTATTTCAAGGTATTTTAAGAGAAGAACTTCTAAGCTTTTGAATACATATTAGTTGTACAAATTGCTAATTAAGTTTCTTTGAAGACAAACTTGAACTCTATACAAATATTGTATGAACATAACAACCTTAAATGTCATGAAGCTATATAGATAAGTGTTTTTATCAAACAAGGAAACGTCAAGAGCGTGGGGTAAGCTTTATTTACCACTAAGGAGAGATTTCTTCTGACCATGGCTCTCTCCTACTTCACCTTGTGGCACAAGTCTTAGCAGTCCTATAGTTTCTTCCCTGTGATTGCAACGTATATCCGGAGAAGATTATTAGAAGATAGACATTCAAATATGCATATCCCTAACCTTTTCTTGATCTTCTATGCTTATAAATATACATGCGTGTGTTGGGATAAAGCTCCCTCAGTCTTATCTCTTTATAAGATTTTTATCAGCTTGTTATTGATTTCAGCTCATATATACTTCTTCCTACTTTACATAAACTCCTCAGATCTTTTTTTCTGTTCTTCAATTAAGCTCTCTCTCTCTCTCTCTCTCTCTCTCCTATCTCAGCTCATATATAATTCTTCCTACTTTACATAAACTCCTCAGATCTTTTCTCTCTGTATCTATCCATCTCTAAAGAGGGGAAATGGGATTAAGGGAAGTAGGAACTACTCTACCTCCAGGGTTCAGGTTCCATCCAAGTGATGAGGAGTTAGTAGGACATTACCTATACAAGAAGGTGGCAAATAAGAAAGCTTCTCAGGGAACCATGGTGGAAGTTGATTTGCATATTCGGGAACCTTGGGATCTTCCAGGTGAGTCTTGCTCTGTGTGCTAGATCTTTCTCCTCCTTAAAAAAAATTTAATCTATGCAGAAAAAGAAGTTTTATTTATATATATATATATATTGATAGCACATAGACGAAGAGCTTCTTTCCTCCATATTTCAATGCAATGATTTCCTCTCTAAGAAAGTATTAGTTATGTGTAAGATTGAATGAATGTATGAACGCAGATATATCTACTTAGAAAATGTTGTTTGTATCCATATTGGCTCTCTATATAGAATTTCATGCCTTATAATCTCTCTCTCTCTCACTCTCTTCAAAATCTTCATTTAGCTGATAATTTCTTGCTAATTGTTTACTGATTTTCAAAAAGTTCTATGGTGAAAGCTGATTTCTATAAAAATAGTAACAAAATTATTTTTTACACAGCAACTTTATATATATTACAACCGTCCCAAATAAAGCCATATTTACTCTTCCAACACCTCCTTCTTCCTTCAACAATCTGCAAACATTAATTCTTGCATGCCAGGGCTTGCTTGTGAGGCCATTTCCATCCATTTTACAGGCTTCTCTAGCTATTCAGTGTAAGATATTTAGAGATAACTGAACAGTCCAAAAACTTTTAATATAATTAGTTCAAACGTACAGATAGCTTACATGTACACGCTAATTAATACTGTAGACTACGTACCTTAGTCATTTAACTAGCTATATTATTCTCCCTTTCAATAATATAGATGTCCACAACATTGGCCCACTTGTTCCTTGTAGCACAAAATCTCCAATGATTTAAACTTGCACTCATAGTCCTTCCACGTGCCCCAAAATGTTTTTTTTTGGGGGATTTTTTATATTTCTTTTTAAGGGATTAAATTCTATTTTAAAAAAAAAATTTAATGTCATAGAATTATAAAAATCAGATACAAGAGTTAGAGACATCTACCTTCTAAAGTAAAGAGATTATTGCTTGAGCTAAAGATCGTTAATGGAAATATAGAAATCTATATCATATGATTTTAATGATTATACGTATAATACGATTATGTATAGACTCGTGAATTTCATGGAGAAGTAGCTTAAAGCATAATACATAAGCTCGTCTTGAACTTGAGAGACCTCTTCCGTCAGAATAAGTATATAAGTTCATTGATATAGAGATATTTAGTTGCATTAGATATGTTGTGATGCAGAGTAGTTTAAAAAGATTCTTTGGCTAATAATTGTCTCTATTAATATGACAAAATAAGAAATATTTGGAATGATTGTAGCTGCATGTAAATTTACTTTTGAAATGATTAGATGATGAATAAATTTTGTTAAGTTTAATTCCTATGAATATATAATGTAGACTTTGTTCTTTCAAAAAAGGAGAAGAGAAAAAAAAATCAAATAGCATAATATCATATAACTGAAAAAAAAAAATATCTAAACTAATGTAATGAAGGCATCTAAGAAGAGTAACGAAGAAAATTAACCTTCTATTACATCTTATAATTTATTTTTATCATGAAGATTGTAACTCAAGTGCTAATATAATTATTGTTTATGTTTTAATTGTTGTTTTTAGAGATGGCAAAGCTAAGTCCAAATGAGTGGTATTTCTTTAGCTTTCGCGATCGCAAGTATGCAACAGGATCACGAACAAATAGAGCAACAAAGTCTGGGTATTGGAAGGCAACGGGGAAGGATCGAACTATCTATAATCCTAAAAAGCATGTCATGATAGGAATGAGAAAGACATTGGTATTCTATCTTGGAAGGGCTCCAAATGGGATTAAAACTAATTGGGTCATGCATGAATTTCGGCTTGAGACTCCCAATTCTCAACCTAAGGTTTGTTCTTTTAATTTATTTAATAATTAATGTACATATTCTTGTAAAAAAATTATTTCTATTTCAAGTAATATAATTCTTTTAAAAATTAGTGCATGGTTGCAAGTAGTATATAATATGATTTAAAATTGATTACATTAAGAGCACTTTACCTTTACAAATGTATTAAATAATTTTAGGCAGAGAACCAATCCTTATAAGGAGAATAAGAAAGATAATAATTTGAAATAAAAATAATAATTATGGAACTAATAACCTTTTTTGGTCAAAAGAAATATAGTTAGGATTTAGTATAAAAAAAGTAAGTTAAGCTAAACTTTTTATTAGGAAAGTGAATGAAAGAGATGTCCACATAAATAATGTTATCAGAAAAGTTAAAACTGATGAGAATAAGCAACATAATGTCGCCAACAAATTTGAAGGATCGTTATCAAGATAAACATACTTATTTGTGTATGTTTCTTCTATGACAGGAAGACTGGGTTCTTTGCAGAGTCTTTCACAAGAGGAAAGAGGAAAGAGAGAAGGAAACTACCACTTGCTATAATACTATTTCACCTCCTGATTTGTGGAACACCTCCTCTCCTATTGTTATGGATCAGTCACTTCCTTACTATGAGGAACTAAATGGTTGCTCGATGTCCACCATTACTACATACCAAGAGGAAGATACAAACTTAAACTATATTCAAAATGCTTCTCTAATGCAATGTGACTTCCTTAATGACTTCACATATGATCAGATGGAAGTGGGACCAAAGAATGGAAATATTGATCATCAGTATGAACTTATGTGGGATATGGGGCTTCACCATGGCCATGATATTGTAAACATAGAAGAAGTAGGCTTTCAAGGGTGAAAGGATACCCATACATAGAGATGATAAAATAGATCAATTATTAGGTCATACTACATGTATATATTTATGAATGTTGTGTTATTTTCTTAATTAGGAAAAGTGTCAAGTTTTTTTTTTTTTTTTAAGAGTCAAGGTTATTGTTTGTAAATATCACAATTAGATGTTGTTATGAAGGCTTGTTTGCTTGAAAACAAATAATAGATTGATTTTTTTTTTTGTGGGGCTTAATAAATATATTGAACTTGTCATCATCAAACTTTTAATTTGTCTCTCTCTTTTTCTTCTTTAAAAAAAAAAAAGAGAATTTTTAATATTCTGTTATCCAACTGTTGTAGGATTTTTTTTAGCTTTGTTGACTTGTTAAATTTATTAATCATTATAAATTTTATGCTTCATTAAAGTACTTTTAATTGAGTTTTTTGTGCTCTCTGATATGATGCTTTTCCCATGTCCCTTCTACTGAACTTAGGCAAGGTACTTCAAGGAGAGAATATGCCTTATTTACCTAGAGATTTGTTCTAATTTATGGCCAAGTTTTTTTTATATATATGTAGGATTGGCCAAGTTTTATACAGATATTTTGCGAGCTTTAATTTTTATGATTAATTATATTTTATGTATGCTCAATGCAAATTTTGTGTATTTGGATAAAATTTTGTCAATATTGTTATCGTCAGCTCTCAAGTTCTAGATGAGAAAATTGAAGTGTTGTGTTAAATATTTAACAGTCAGAATAAAACTTGTTGAATAATCATGATATGAATGAAATTTTGTGTATTTGAATGAAATTTGGTTGGGACAAATATGAATCGATGAAGATTTTATGATTTTTATCATTTCAAGCAACCTTCTGGTCTCAATTAATCAACGACAAAAGGCAACATGATGTAACTTCTAAGAAACATAATTACTAGTCATTGATTATCTCCTCTCAACTCTTCTAAGCCTAAGAGGATTTTATGCTTAGGTCATACTTTGGTGTAAGGCATAACACATATCAAACATCACTACAAGAAAATCGTCATCAAATTTTTCCAACCAAAATCAGGAATTTTCCGGCTCTATTTCTGACCGCTTTCGGTGATTTATCCGACGAAAATCGGGACTTTTACTATAGTGCATTAGAATCATTGAATTAATAGCTCTTCCTGATGGATAATTATACAACATAGTGGAGTACTTCATGCTGTATAAAATGTTTTCCTCATATAAGATACCTTAATATATAAGCATGAATCTTGAGCTGAGGTTTTACTCACTTCCATGAAATATTTTTGGTACAAGGTACACTTCAATTTAATTTAAAAATCTTGTGATCAGTGCCAATTTATATGAATTCTTTCATCTATGGAGGATTGTGATCAGATGATTTGAATCATATATACATACTTTCTTATATAGGATCGAATGTGAAATTTATGGATCATACGTCTTATCTAATCTTTATTATTCAATGGATATTAGCTATTATAAGATCTTGCTTGTGATTTATATTAGCCATAGGGACTATATACATAATTGGTATCATAAAAACAATTGATCAACCAAATTTTATATTGTATATATATTTTCTAGAAATTAATTATCTCATATATTTTATAGAAAGACATAAGACTGATAAGAGTCCCTAAAAGTAATAGATTTTATGTAAGAGCCAAAATAAAAATACACTCATGGTATTTTTTTAAGAAATAAATAACCGTGTGAGGAGTAAAGATCATACTCATGACCTAAAATTTTAGAGGTGAAATACAAACAACTTGGCTAATGCTTAGTTTGAGACTGCTTTCTTATTGCTTTCTAAAATAATTTTATAGCATAAAAATTTCTAAAAAATAATGAAAAAATTGTGGTCAAAAGCTGTCCGAAATGAAGCTTAAGTTCACATTTGAAACATTTAACTGCTTATTGTAACAACTCAAACTCTTAACTATTAAGATATTGTCCGCTTTAGTCTAAGGCCCTCACAATTTTATCTTATTGTGAGCACGCTTAACTGCGGAGTTTCTTAAAAAAATTCCGGCCATCACCCCAAAAGAAACTCAACGTTTAAGAGTTTAACTTCTTTTACTTAAGGGTTTTCACAATTCCTCTCACTTAAATAACTGACATCCTCGTCAGCATCTTTATCCCAGAATCGTCCACAAGGCATATAAGATTCTACAGGTGGCCCCTACAAGTTCAAGTGCTAGCTCTAGTCTTGTAGCACTTTGTCTCACAAAAGATTCAAGAGGTGACTCCCATGACATAACACTTTGTCTTGTATGACACTTATTCTCATCTTCTGACTAATGTATTCTCTTATTAATCACTGAATTAGAAGAATTTATGAAAAAGGTCTGATTCGTTTATGTGAAGTGGTGAGAGGTAAGAACTGAAATCAATAAAAGGCTTACATACAGATAAGACTAAGGGAGCTAAGCTTAATTTGCCGAGGCAAACCCACACATATCTATCAATATACGTAGAGGATCAAGTGGAGAGTGAGATATGTATATTTGAATGTCTATCCACTTATAATATATATCTTCTCCAGATATACGTTGCAATCACCAGGAAGAGGCTATAGGGCAGCTCTGACTTGTGCCACAAGATGAAGTAGGAGAGAGCCATGGTCAGAAGAAATCTCCTAAATGTTAAATAAAGCTTACCCCACACTACGACGTTTCCTTGTCTGATAAAACACTACTATATATAGCTTCAAGACAATTAAAGTTGCTATGTTCATACATTTGTATGTGTAGATTTTAAGCTTTGTCATCAAAAGAAACTTGCTAATTAGTGCAACTAAGATATATATAAAACGTCCTAATATCTAAATGTCATCAATGTATATCTATAAAATAATACATTTTTTTTAGAGAAAATAATATTAATTTTTTATTTATATTATTTAAATATTATGATATTAAATTTATTAATATAAAAACTTAAATATTTATATACAAATACATAAAAATTAAATGATGTATCTATAAATTTCTTATTTTATTTTATATAAACTCAAATTTAGTAGTGATAAGGCTAGGAGCTCATCCACTCTAATGCTTCGTGAACGGCTTTTTTATTGCTTTTCAAAGTAGTTTTTTAGTACAAAAGTTTTTTTTTTTAAACTAGAAAGCTGTTTTAAGAAGCAGCAAAAAAATTGTCTCAAACGAAGCCTAAATCACCTTATTCTAAACAAGAACACATACAATTACAATCATTTTCAAATACTTTCGTCAATATAAATCAAATTTGCTAAAGTTTATTCAATATTAAATTCTAAAGTTTACATAGGATTCACCAACTAAGTCAAAATCCAATATAATTCATTGTAGATCTGATTATTATTATTATTATTATTTCCTGACAAGCTTGTAGCCTAGCTACTGTCTTGGTCCCTTACATTCAATAGAGAGATCTGATGTTCAAAACCTTTTTAAAAAAATCCTCTTAGAACATAGCATTTGATCAATTTCCAATCCATGATCAAAACAATCAGGGATTTATTTTCATTAGCTTCTTATTTTAATTATTTTTTTGTATGTGTCATTGATATGAGAGTCTTAGTATGAGATATGTTATGATTTTATATTTATAAACTTTATATGATCTTAAGAATTAAAAAAAAAAATGTTTTCCCTTTGATAGAATGATGGAGGAATTACAAAAGCTTGTTGGAGAAAGAATAATCTGCAACTACGATTAATGGTAAAGGAAATGCAGAGAAAATCAAAGAAATTCAGTAAGGAAGAAGGTCTAATATATTTTGATTAATTCTGAAAAGAATGTCCTCAATGATTCCATGTCACCAGTGCATGAAGCTGGGACTGGCAACTGCTCCACTCCCTAATTACCTTGACAACCTTAATTAGTGAATGAATTAAGGTTATGGCCACTTTCAAAACAATTTAATTAAGAAAATGATCATAATCACACTTAAACATAATGGCACACGCTATCTATCTCCTATGGCTTCCTGCTAGCCACATGAAAATCATCCAACTATGAGGTTTCTTGCGGTGTTTGCATTGACCACAATGATCGCAGCAAAGGAGAAGAGGAAGCACCAAGGGCTGAGAGTCCACAACAGAAGCCCCGCAAGCAACGCACGTAGTTGGGAAATTTCCACAGGGTCAGCCGGAAACAATAGGTGAATATGAGTGTTGTTCTTCTGTTTTAGTGCTGCTATTGTTTTCTTGAAATATTCTGAGAGAGGAACTATTTTATTACGTTGTTAGACTTTGCCAAGCTTAATATAGGGGATGAGTTCTAGAAGTTCTTTGTCATGTGCGATTTGGTCAGATTTCGGTTGTTGGGGGTGGAAGTAAACAACGTGATTAAACAAACAATAAAAATAAAAATGCAACGGAAAGAAACGAACATTAGGATTTAATGTGGAAAATTTTAAAACTGAGAAATAACTATGAAGCCACATCACATCAAGAAATTCATAATGAAAATTGGGAGAAATTTGTAGAGTTCTCTCTTCTCTCTCGTGCGGGGCACGCTTGTGAGAGCTAGGCGAGCACGATGAGAACACAATGAGGAGAGGTGCGGGTGAGCGTTGTGCACATGCGCGGGAGAGCGAGGCGAGGCGAACAAGACACGGGTGTGGTTCAAGTGTGGGTCTGGTCTTCTAGCCTGTGCACTCATGGTGCAGAGCGCAGGAGGGATGAGGGCTTTCACGAATCGTGAGCACTCGGGTGTGCAGATCGAGGTGATTTTGGATTTCCATGTCAACCCAAACCCTACCCGATTTTATAAACGGGTTGGAATCTCGAACCCAAACTTGACCCTTATGGCAAATAACGGGTTGACCTGAACTCAGAATTAATTTTTCAGATCGAATCCAAGTCAGGTCAAATATTGACACCCCTACATATATGGTTAGCAGTTTGTTTAGGCTATGCTTTTACATTAAAAAGTTTTTTTATGCCACTTCTATAAAAAATTTCTGGCTCGGCCACAGATTAAATAACTTTTAAATTTGGAAGGATTGTCATGCTAGAAATTAAATGAAATTTTTTACATGTATAAGTTCATGCAAATAATTTAGGGTGAATCGAGTGACCGTGTTTAGTCATAAATGGCAAAATTGTAGATAAAACAAAATTCTTCCCTTTCCAGTTGTCCTATGTTTTGCAATTGTGAATCTTGACTTCAGGTCCATGACATCAATTCACGTTCTTCACACTTCAGAGGATGTTCTATTTGAATTTTGTC